ATATATATATAAAATAGATATTGAGCACTGATGCAACTAATTAGGTAAAATGTCACATGCGCACTTCTTCCAGCTATTCAGAATTAGATGACACATTTTCACCACTGCTCCTTTCGAGGTGATAGTGTGGTCCTCCTCTTTTGGCTTATGCTGCCCACCTACATTGACTTAGTCCCCTCTGGCAGTTTAAACCTCTTCTACTACCGGCAGCCCTTTTGTGAGCCTTAGCTTTGTGCTTTGGGCTTCATTGTTCCTGCTTGCTGCGTCGGATCCCAGACACAAGGGAAGCAGTCCCACTGTAATGAGCCCTTTCAGCTCATGATCCTCTAACAACTCCGGTGCTGCCTGCAGGACACTCACTCAAGGGCCTGACACTGATTTCCTGGAATGTTGTCTTCTGCTTGACACCCCAGAGTCCCCTTCTCTGTTCTATTCTGGGAGGATTTCACCAGTTATGCAGGATTTATGGGCCAAATTGCAACCTTTGATTGCTGACTGACTGCAGAGGACCTAAGCATGCCTCCACACCTTCCCCTGCAATATCAGTCTCTGTTTTGACTGTGCCATGAGCAGCCTCTGAGTGTTCTGCCACAGAGGCAGTCTCTAATAATGATAATTAGACATACTTACTGCTGAGTAGACGCAGGCCGCGGCCGTTACTCCAAGGCTTAGAGTGGCCATTTTAACGCTTATTGATGCAGTGCGCAACACTTTGAAACTTTGGCTAAATATTGGGGGTCTAAACAGCCCCCTGATATTTCCCATTTAAAATAGAAAAAGAGACTGTGTGTACATGAACAGGAATCCTCTATACTGAGTGTTCCTGTTCATTCATACATTGTGGATATAGTATGAGCTACTATGTACACAATTATGAATGAACAGGAAGTGATGTAGATCACTTCCTGTTCATTCATAACTGGTACATAGTAACTCATACTATGTCCTGGTTTTTACAAGCAGTCAGCGATCACTGATTGCTTGTTACGCTCTCCATCCTGACACGTCTGTCACAGCTGACCTGGCGGTGCGGGGGGAGAGAACTCGGTCCATTTTGACAGCTGGCTCCCCCTCACTGCCGGGTTGGGCTCCTGTGACAGCTCACGGCTGTTTGCGCCCGCACACCGATCTCGATCCTGATCGGTCAGAGGAGGCTGAGGGGGGCAGTGCGGGAGGAGTTCCTGGCCTCTTGTGACACGCCGGGTGTTTACAGCGCTCTCCTCCCCCACACCACTCGGCATCATCTGACAGTTTCTCTCCTCCCTGCTGGACGCTGCCCTGTGTCTGAGGGGACACAGAGCAGCGCACAGTGGGGAGGAGAGAAACTAGGCATGTACCACAATGATGGCACTTTTGGGCGATATGTTTCGGCGGCCGAAATTTCAGTAAGTCCCTAAAATATACCCTTATACTTTAAAGCAGACCTAGCTTCATATACATTTTTTAATGAAGTGCATGGATGCTCGGTATAAAAGTAACCCTTGCTGGTATCTTTTACAAGGTACTATTCCTGACAATACATTCCTCATATGTTCTTCCGAGAAAGCCAGCATAGTCTTTAGGGCTGGTTCACACCACAAACAGTGTGTTCTAGAACAGTCAGCCTCTGGAACGTGCTGTATCACATTCCACAGTAACGCCTTCTGTGTTCAGGGCCGGGAGGGGGGCGTGGCGGTGCGATCACCTGCACCAGAACGAGTGGCACATCAGTGCTTGCATTCCGGTGCAGTGCGATCTGCAAAAATAGTGCTTGCAGCATTTGTTTTGCAGATCCCACTGGACTGGAATGCAGGCACTGATGTGCCACACGTTCTAAAGTGGGCGATCGCACTGCGGGCAGGGGGCGTGGCCACCCCCTCCCGCCCCTGAATGCAGGAAACTGGCCGGAATGCAATACAGTGCGTTTCAGAGGCTGACCACTCTGGAACGCACTGTTTATGATGTGAACCGCCCTTCAGTCAACATCTACTTCCTGAACTAAGCTCCTTCCCTAGATTACACAGTAATGGTAAAGGATATCTAAACCCAATAACAAAAGGAATATATTGAGGCTTAACAGACTTTAGATGAGGTGGCTGCATTTATTCTTCATTTTTCATGTTAAGAAATAAGAATATTTTCAGCAAGTACAAAAATACCTGTTGATATTGCCAGAATTGTGGTGCCCTTGTCACTTTAAGCTGAACTGAATGTTTATCTTCCTTCCGTAAACCATAAAAGTGTAGCCACCTCGGAACAGGAAGTGTGTTGTTCACATGATTACAGGGTGAAAATAAGGCGGAAAAGCCTAAATAAAAAAAACTAGGATTCGCAAGCTTCAGTTTATTATTTTTTTTATTTTGTTGTTAAATACACTTTAATGTCTGTGCAGTAGCATTTATGTTCTATGCTGTGTGTGAACGTATCTCCTACAAATCGGCTCTTACTGTTGCCACTTATCTAGTAGCAAACTGATGACATAATTCTCCTAGATTGCACCTTTCACTATAGGCACAGTCACCTGCTTGGAGCTCAAAGACTACTTTTGTGTTGCTGTAAACTGTGACCAGAGTATTAATTCAAACTTGTAAAACCACTAATAGATCCACTTCAAAAGCAGTCATGTCACAATTCTAGAATGCATCCGTATAGGAAGCTATGATAAAATCACTCGTGTTTTGGAAAATGGTGGTATGAAACTAATTTTGAATAAGGTTTTTGATGCAGTTTGTTTTAGGCTGGACTTTTGCATGCATGCAGCATGTGTGGTAATGCACATGATTATTCATTAAAGGGTCCATATAGTTTACCTTTAATAATAGGAAATACATAATTTTTGTAGTGTAAATATTGGCGCATTTACAATGTTATTAAGACAAGTTCTATGTGGTGTTGCACCAGCCACGGCAAATCACGTTAGAAGTGATATGCAACAGTTTCCATAAATGTCTGATTGTATGTGGCAAAATTATGAAGCATTTGCGCCAATGTTCTTATTTAAAAACCGTTCTAAAATGTACACCATTATCGGAGTGGTATAAATACTGCACAGAGGAGTGTCGCCTCACTATAGTATTACCTCCGATTTACACCAAGATTTTGCACTTGCTGGAGTAATTGCCCTTAAATCTGGCATAGCACATGTGACAAGGTATCCAATTGGTGCGCACCACTTTTGATGTATTTTTCACAGGAAGTGCTATTTAAATATATAGAAATTGGTGCATTTTTTGCAGTGTCTTTAACCCCCCATATTGTTTCAAAGTATCTTTCCAGTTGTAGGTGTCAATAGGATATATTTGTTTATACAAGAAGCCATTATTGTACATTACAAATTTGCTGCATGTATTTACACCTGTTTTCAATTTCCTTGTTTCTCACCTCATTTATCATTTTTTGTTCATCTGCAGGTGTTTCTGGTCCGCAAAATTACTCCACCTGACAATAATCAGTTGTATGCAATGAAAGTCCTCAAAAAGGCTACACTGAAAGGTGGGCAGCTTGCATGAAAACATTTCCTTTCCTTTGCTCTAGTTACCACTTTAACTTTAGAATTGCTTTCCAAGAACATATAAATTATTGCTTAATAGATTTACAAGGTTCAGCTTGTCTGCTGAGCCATGGATTTTGTCCAGGTTTCATTACCCACACTCTCCTTCCAACTCTCCTCATATCCTTATTTAGGTGAAATAATGCACTGTGGGGGGATTCTTTTGTAGAGGGAAGGTTATGAACTTGCACAGCCACAGATGATACTTTTTTGTTTTGTGTTAAAGTGTAAATTGAATATACTGCAGCTTACCAGTGCTTAAAAGTGATGGCTGCATACGTTTTCCATTTTCACGCCATAAAAACATTTTCAACTAGCACGGTAAATACATTTTGATCTTGCCAGATATGCAATGTTATTATCACTTCCTATGAAGCAAGGATGATGCAAACAAGTCTGTTCAGGAAAGCTGACCTTAGTTGTGGGTAGACTGCAATTTAGATATCCAGATTCAAATTTTGTTGCTTTAATGTTCACTCATAGAAATATGTTTTACAGCTATGGTTTACTGCCCTTTGCACATCTTCACTGCTTCTTGTATTTTTATTGATTAAGTCCAATATTGTGAGTATAGAGATATTTTACCTTACCACCCAAAGCTTCCAATTGTGATTGCCCCACTGAAAAATTATGCAAAACTCATTCTTTCTATAGTAAATTTTCCAAGAATACGTTATGCTTATTAAACAAAAATATATATACTTATATTACTTCCATTGCACACACACACAATCTTTTTGGTTCACCGTAGCTCTCACTGGTTCTTCCTGCTTACCTCCACAACACTACAGGAGACAGTGTGGGCCTGGAGGTCATCAAAAAAATTGTTAGATTTATTTACATTGCAGGCAAAAGAACATTTTTGTTAAAGTTAAAGCCTACTGGGTGGATTTAGCTGCTGAATTGTTATGTTTTGCATACTGAACAGGAGCATCTCACTGCCATAAATCCCAAATCGGTTACCACCCACCTTTGCATGTTCTAGCACCTACTTATAAATGCTCTATAATATAAAATAAAGTATATAATATAATTATAAAATAAATTTAAAAAAAAGTGCACACCCAGTAACTTGAGCACTGGTAATTCACCAATGGAGTTCTCAAGAGATATAAAACATTTCAGCAAAATCAGTGTGCTTTAATATATAGTGCACCTACACACACACTATATTGCCAAAATTATTGGGACGCCTGCTTTACACGCACATGAAATTTAATGGGATCCCAGTCTTAGTCCGTAGTGTTCAATATTGAGTTAGCCCACCCTTTGCCGCTATAACAGCTTCAACTCTTGTGGGAAGGCGTCCACAAGGTCTAGGCGTGTGTCTATGGGAGTGTTTGACCATTCTTCCAGAAGCACATTTGTGAGGTCAGGTACTGATGTTGGACGAGAAGGCCTGGCTCGCAGTCTGCACTCTAATTCATCCCAAAGGTGTTCTATCGGGTTGAGCTCAGGACTCTGTGCAGGCCAGGTAAGTTCCTCCACCCCAAACTCGCTCATCTATGTCTTTATGGACCTTGCTTTGTGCACTGGTGCGCAGTCATGTGGAAACAGGAAAGGGCCATCCCCAAACTGTTCCCACAAAGTTGGGAGCATGCAATTGTCCAAAATGTCTTGGTATGCTGATGCCTTAAGAGTTCCCTTCACTGGAATTAAGGGGCCAAGCCCAACCCCTGAAAAACAACCCTACATCATAATCCCCCCTCCACCAAGCTTTACACTTTGTCCAATGCAGTCAGGCAAGTACTGTTCTCCTGGCAACTGCCAAACCCAGACACGTCCATCGGATTGCCAGACAGAGAAGTGTGATTCGTCACTCCAGAGAACACGTCTCCACTTCTCTAGAATCCAGTGGCAGCGTGCTTTACACCACTGCATCCGACGCTTTGCATTGCACTTGGGGATGTAAGGCTTGGATGCAGCTGCTCGGCCATGGAAACCCATTCCATGAAGCTCTCTACGCAATGTTGTTGTGCCAATCTGAAGGCCACACGAAGTTTGGAGGTCTGTAGTTATTGATTCTGCATACAGTTGCTGTTGTTCCCAGTTGCTTCCACTTTGTTATAATACCACTAACAGTTGACCATGGAATATTTAGTAGCAAGGAAATTTCATGGAACACCTGAATCCAATGATTTGGAGGGGTGTCCCAATACTTTTGGCAATGTAGTGTATTATATACCATTTTTTAAAAGACAAAATGGGCTTTAATTTGATGTGACATATATGCATATATAAATTATTTTCTTTTTTTAATAAAAAATGCACAAAAAACCCCCACATATTTCACCGTTTTGGCAATAGTGTAAATAATTAGTGAAGCTAACAAAGTAATTCATAATAATTTCTTATATTTGAGAATCTTTATGATGTGCTGGAGAAGTCTTTCTGCAATAGTCCAACTCTCCCATCATCACTGCAGGATCTTGGTGAAAATTGTCATTTCTTGCTTCTGAGTGGCTCACTGATTTTCCCATAAGTCTGCACGAAGATAAAAGTATAATCATCCCCTGCTAAGGAAGCTTCATTTTTGATGAAATACCCCATAAAGGTTAACTACTTCTAAGGGGATGCAGACACTGCAACTTTCCTCATTAGGACGCTGAGAGTGCACCAGGTGGTTATAAAGAATCAGATTCTTCAATTTGGTGGCCGGTCCACACCACAAACCGTGTGTTCCAGAGCAGTCAGCCTCTGGAACACAATGTATCGCAACCCGGCCGGCTCCTTGCATTCAGGGGCGAAAGGGGGACTTGGAGGTGCATTGAAGTCAATGGCACCGCAGCCACGCCTCCCGCCCGCACCCGAACACGTGGCACTTCAGTGCCTGCGTTCCGGTCTAGTGCAATCTGCAAAAATATTGCAATAAATTGCAGCATTTTTTCAGATTGCACTGGAGCGGAACGCAGTCACTAAACTACCACCCGTTCAGGTGCTGGCGGGGGACGTGGCTGCGTTGCCATTGACTTCCATGCAACGCCACGACCCCCTTTCGCCCCTGAATGCAAGGAGCCGGCCGGGTTGCGATACACGGCTTTGCAGAGGCTGACCGCTCTGGAGCGCACTGTTTGTGGTATGAACCGGCCCTTAGGGATCAGTTTGAAAAGGACCGAAAAAGGTAGGAATATGCAACAAAGTTGCAATGTACATTGCTCAATAAATATACATTCTAATGTATAATATACATTAGAATGTACATTGATCACTCAAGTACAGTATCTCTTGATAGTACAAACATATGTTCTTTCAGTAAGGCAGTGAAAAAATTACTGATGTCCTTAGAGCACTAATACATAGTCATGCAGTTATTCTTTCTCTCTCTCTTCCATTGAGGGGCACAGAGTCTATCACCCTCGGGCTATGCTGCTGCCTACAGGAGGATTAGACACAAATAAAACAGATAAACATGTAGGCTAGCCCAGGATAATCCTCCCACTACCAGCATGCCTCAAATTTTGCTGGTGTCTTAGGAGAATGGACCTTTTTTCAGCTCTGCTGGTAAAAGACTAACTTATTTTTGGTCAGGTTTCTGGCTAGCTCTTCCCAGAAAGGCTTTAGGCTCACTCCTGTGCCTTTCCCTGCAGATTTTATGGCTGATCTGGCCATAGCCCTAGAGGCTTATGAGCCATTGGCTGAAGAGACAACTGATTTTGAGTCGCTCCAATAGCTCTTTTAATTCTGGAGTAAGACTCCGCAAGGATAATCTCATCATGTAGAAATTGAAGCAACTCAAAATCAGATGTCTCTTAGACTTGATAAATCAGAAGCCCCTAGGGATGTGGGCACATTCAACAGGAATTGGTAGAAATTTGAGCAATAGGTGGTCCTGTCAGCCTCACCCAACTCAACAACTTTCGATTAACAAAAAAAAATCAAAGACGCCAAGTGGAAAATTGGCAGCTAACAGTGTCTCCATCTAATCAGATGATGCAGTCACTGTTCAGGTATTCAGACAGCTGCAGGTATCTGCTGTCTGAACACAGTAGCTGACTTGGGAGATTCCTCCATCTTGGTGTGGAAAAAGAAATCAGATTTCTCTTGTTCAGTCTGTGGGCTGAATGACAGAAATCTGTAAGCATTTGGCTAGCTAAAAACCCTAGAGAAAGGCCTGCCAAGTCTCCTCCCTTTTGTTTAGTTACTCCAGGAGTGTTTCATGCCTAGGCCTCCCAAACTTAGTTCTCTGGCAACCCGCAAAGTCTGGTAAAATTCTGCTAAACCCTCCGAAAAGCTGTTTGCCCCTTTCCAAATTGGAAAGTGATTTTTCTAGCGATACAAACTGAACTTTTGCCTCCAGCTCCCTCTTTGGTCCTCACCTTCAACCTTTTGGTGTCCATGCACAAATTAGCAGACCTACCTGTGCCTCTTTTGGGTGTCCCTGCCCCAGCTTTTGTATCAGATAGGTTTCATGAATTATACTCCAAAATGATGCCACTGTTTTCTTTCCTAAAGAGCACATCTGCTGCTTTAGGGCCTATAATTTAAAAACTTTAGCATGACATCTACCATTCCTTCCCTTCCCCAAAGAGAATTTCTGACTTCCATGGTCAGTTAGGACGTGTACCTACAGGTCCCAGTCTTTCCAGCCCTCTGACTTCTCAGTTTTGCTCCTGCACTCCAAGTGTTCTCCTGTGTGCTGGCCCCAGTTTTAACCTTAGTGTGTTTCCATGGCACCCCCATTGTGGGATACTTGGCCGACTTCCTGTGGAGGAACCAGTCAATGTAGGCTCTGTTGGACAATCTCTCTTATTGTCAAGATATTTTCAAGGAGTTGGTTGGATCCTGAATCTTCAGAAATCAGAACTGCCTACAAGGCAGCTCATACCAGAATGTTTTGGGTTTTTTTCCTGCAGAAAAATCTTAAGTTTATCTGATCTCATGTCATTGTCCTTCAGTACGGGATTTGTCCTTTTCTCAATGGTTGCATGAGAGTCATGAGCCTGTGGGTAACCTTTGAGGCAGCCACATTTCTCCAGGCTCTCTCTAGACTGTCTCAGCGCTACATATTGTGTCATGGAACAAGCTGGCTGAGTGTCTGCTCCAAGGGATCAAATGGTCCCTGGTCTGGTCTCACACAGCTCATTCTGGTAATACTGTTACAGAAAAAGTGGATTGTGGCACAATTACATATTCTAAAAGCATATCCATAAAATCAGTTCCACAGTAGATGAACAGAGGCTTTTTCAATATGGCACGGGATGGCTCACTACTGGTGACGTCAGCATAAAGATCTTAGTCCTAGGGATTGGAGTAAAGGGTATTTATTATTTAACCCCATCGTGACTGACGACGTACAGTGTACGTCGCCAGCATCGGGGCTGTTTAAACAGACTCCCGGTGACTTTTGCCACCGGGACTCTGTTTAAACTTGTAGAGCCGACTGTCGGCTTTACAACAGAAGCGATCCTGGCGACTTACCTGTCGCCAGATCGCTTCTGCGGCCTCAGTCATGAAGGGGTTAAGTATTAGGATTAAGAGTGCCTGTAATTCATTTTCATGCAGGGCCAAGCAACAAGTTTATTTAAAGCATAACTAAACTCAAGAAAAAAAAAAACTTGATGTATTGCTGCTAACCTTCGATGTGGTGGTGGCATTAGTTTTCTTCATGTTAAGAACTTTTTCAGCAAGTCCAAAAAAAACCTACTGATCTTGCCAGAAATCCAGTCCTGTCACTGCTGGTGAGCTGATAAGAAAGCACAAAGAACTTTATCTTTATTGTGTACACTACTAATTCCATCAGCCGACATCTAATGGAGATGAACAAATGTATGAATTCCAGCCTGGGTGGCTGCCATGGCTTTCTGTAGATACAATATAGAAGCAATCATAGCAACCCAGGGACAGAAAGTGTGTTTTTCACAGGTGAAACTAAAGGAAAAATGTCCAAAAAAAGAAAACAGCCACTACATCTAAGGTCTGGTAGGCTATAATATATACAATGTTTGGTTTTTGGTTTAGGTACATTATAACTTCCCCTACCTACCCTGCTATTCCAGCGACATAGAAATACCATGTACATCTGGGTTAATAAGAACATGTGATTGCACTTCTGCTTTACAATTGACCCAGCATGATCATATTGGGTCAGGGATAGAGTCTTCATGTACTTATTCCTGCTGCTTAATTTTGTACTTACATGTTATACATACTTGCTCCTGCTGCTTAATTGTTTTCTTCATTGTGGCGAATACACAAGGCAGCCTACAATCCACATTGGCTACCAACATGTTTACACTAGTGTTTTCTTCCTTTTATATTGCAGTTATAGGAACAAAAATTCATGATGAGAGGGGACAGGGAATTCTGTAATTTATGACAAGCCATAGATAGAAATTTAATAAAGACCTGGCATTTTGCCAAGTTACATTCCCAGTTTTATGTAATGAAAATGTATATGCGACTTCATGTTTTGTGGCAAACCATAACTTATTTATAGAAAAGTATGAAAACTGAGAATTGATATGGAAATGCATGTGTAGTTTTGTTTTAAAACTTGCTTCCTTAATTTAAGTTGACCACACTTGCAGACAAATTTTGTTTCATATGCGATATGATCAACACTTACCAGTGTGAAAGCCCGCTAATGCACTCAGAATATATCCAGTCAGTGCAATATGCTGTTGTTGATAAATCTATTTGATCTGGCAGATCAAATCTAAAATAAAAAAGTGTGTTGCCAGCCTAAGACCTCATTCACACTGGCAATGACATACATGCATTTATAGGGTACATCTATTTGCACAGTGTGAAAAATTCACACTGTGTTTTGCCTGCTTTTAGGTGCATCTGGTTTAGCTGCGCTTAAAGAAAATAGAATTCTGTGTTTCTAGGGTCAGATTAGATACTCTAAACCCGTGTAAACACAATCAAGTTCAAATGCTGGAGAACTTTATCTGGGAAGCATGAAGTTTGTTTATACTCCCCTGATAATTTTTCCCGTCTTTAAATAAACCAAACACAAGATGCTGATGTGAATGTAAGCCTTTTTCACCTTAGTGGAAATTACATGTCATATGTTTACTAGAGAAGAGCTGCTCATGGTATGTATTCAATTAAGTAGTAACACATATAGTACCCGTTGCCTAGTAGATTATGACTTTTTTTCTACATTGATTAGCAGCTTCCATAATGAATATACATCATTAATGTTAACACTGTATCTCTTCTATTTTGACAGTTTAAAAGGTGTGAAGTATATATTTAACCACAAGGTTTTTCTTTATCTCTCCCATCTTTAAAAAGTAAGAGACCGTGTAAGGACCAAAATGGAACGTGATATTTTGGCTGACGTTCATCACCCATTTGTAGTGAGGCTCCATTATGGTAAGTCTGAGGCTGTGCTTCTAGGGAACATTTTGATGTCTTGAAATGAAAATTGGATTTTGGTAGCAGTAAATCATGTTTAATGTAAAACATGTCTGTTAACTGAAATGTGTTTTTTCATGGCAGCATTCCAGACAGAGGGCAAACTTTACTTGATCTTGGACTTTTTACGTGGTGGAGACCTCTTTACTCGTCTTTCAAAGGAGGTTTGTATGAAAATTTTTGGGCCCAAAATGACAACTTTCATATCTTTTTTTATTCTGTCCCTTTAACCAGTTGACATCCGCGGTGTTAAACCCCCTTCCCATCCAGGCCATTTTTCAGTATTCAGCGCTGCGGTACTTTGACTGACATTTATTCCGTCATGCAGCGCTGTACTGATAACAATCCCCCTATATAATAGCAAAGGCACACTGACAAGTCCTCTTTATGGAGACATTACGGGTCTCTAGGACCCACGCGAACGAGCACATATAGACGATCGGCGGGCTAATCGCCTATATGTGAAACACCCGGTAACGGGTGTGTGCAATGGTCGGGTCTTTTCAGCCCGTGCGTGCAGAAAAAAAATGCTGTCTGGCGACGGCAACCCGCCAATGCAGCAGAGCCGTCCGTCCGTTTTTTTACTACGGGCGGACGGCAAGTGGTTAAGTTGGCAGTTTTTATGAACCCCAATTCCAGTGAGCAATAGTGCATCTGTTGCTGTAAAAGAAGAATTGAGCCATTTAGAAATAGACATATTTGCAGTGCAATCCAGGCACAATTAGGGGTCTGTTTATAAACAATTCACAAAGGCATTCATTCTGCAAAACTTCGTCTGCATTTGTTTTATGCGAATAGCAGCAATCAAGCGTTCTTAGTATATTTTCCTTTTCAGGTGGAATGAACCCTTCAGAAAATACCACATTATGGCCTCTAGATGGAGCTGAGGAGCATAGGAAATGTGGGATTTTTGTTTCCTATGTTCCTCTGCTCCATCTAGTGACCATAATGCGGTATAACATTACATTTGACCTGAAAAGAAAATACACTAAGAATGCTTTGCCGCTATTCGCATGGAGTAAACGTTCACAAAGATTCACAGGTTGAATGGCTCTGCAAATTGTTTACAAATAGAACCCATAGTGTATTCTTTGTTTGGAATATAGCATTCCCCACAGCTTCTGGCTGCATCTGGCCCTACAAGCCAGCCATGGAGTTGTTCTTACAACAGATTTATTGTAGCTCACGTTGTTAGTGAGATGGAGCACAACACCGATTCCCCTGCTGAGTGCATCATAGAATTTTGCAGTAAATGTGGTTGCGAGCTATGTTATCCTGGTTTTATTTTTTGACCTTTCTTTTTAGGTCATGTTTACCGAGGAGGATGTCAAGTTTTACCTGGCTGAGCTGGCTCTGGGTCTAGATCATCTGCATAGCTTGGGGATTATCTATCGGGACCTCAAACCTGAGAAGTAGGTGTTATAAGTTTGCTGCTCTGCATAGGTTAATATCTAGCATTTACAAGAAAAAGTATGTGAACCCATTGGAATGAACTGGTTTTCTGCAGTAAATTGCCATAAAATATGATCTGATCCACATCTAAGTCACAATAATAGACGAACACAATGTGATTCGGCTGCTATCACACACACCATTCTAATTTCTCATGTTTTTTTATTGATCACAACAGAGCGCCGCCCACCGGAGCAGCAGTGACGCGACGCTCGGCGAGGTAAGTAAGAAGAAGAAAAAAAAAACATAGCGCAAGCTTCGGCGCTAGGCTTCGGGGCATTTTGACAAGTACAAGTACTTGTCAAAATGCCCTGTATCGGGCCCGATTCCGATGCTAGTATCGGTATCGGGACATCCCTAATCACAACCATTAAATATTCACAGTGCTAGAGATCAAAAGTAAGTGAACCCATAGACTAATTACTTCAACAAAAGTGAATTGGAGTTAGTAGCTTGCACACTAGAGGTTCAGTTAATTAAATTAGTTTGGAGGTGTGGTTTAGAGCTACTTTGATAAAAGATACTCAAACATTTTAAGATTGCTGATCTTAAGGAGCATCAACTGATGTAAACTATGGCTCACAAAAAGCAGCTCTCTGAGTAGTTGATCTGCATAAGGCAGGAACGTGATACAAAGCAATCTCAAATTGTTTAGGCATCCCTTACTCAACAGTTAGACAAATTGTCTATAAATGGAGACAGTTTAGGACAGTGGCCACTCTTCCTAGAAGTGGGCACCCAGCCAAGATGACTCCCAAGGCACAACACAGAATCCTCAAAGAGGTAAAGAACCCACCAATAACAGCTAAAGGCTTGAAGACATCACTTGAACCAGAAAACATCCCTGTTCAGGAGTCTACCATATGTAAGTCTTTGATCAGGCAGGGTGTCCATGGCAGAACACCACGGAGGAAGCCGCTGCTTTCCAAAAAAGAAAAAAAACATTGCTGTGCGCCTGAAGTTTGCCAAAGAGCACATTGGCAAACCGCAACGCTGCTGGGAAAATGTTTTGTGGACTGATGAAACAAAAGTTGAATTGTTTCCATCAGAATACGCAGCATTATATGGAGCAAAAAGGGCACAGCTTATCAAAACATCATCCTAACTGTGAAGTATGATGGAGGGAACATCATGACAATGCGCCTTTTGGAGCGGCCCATTTAGAGGCCAGACCTTAAACACATAGAGATGCTGTGGAATGACCTCAAGAGAGCCGTTCACACCAGGCATCCTCCAAATGTGTCTGAGCCATAGGGGGTACGACCAGCTATTAACTCCAAGGGTTCACTTACTTTTCCTCCAGCACTGTGAAAGTTTAATAGGTGTGTTCAATAAAGACACATTTTCAAATCTTAACTCAACAAACTGAAGGGAGAAGCTGCTCCAGATTTGGTCTTCTCCAGTTCTGATAAATTCCCCACATTGTGTTTGTCTATTGTGACTTACTGTAGGTGAGGATCAGATCACATTCTATGGCAAATGACTGCAAAAAAAACCCAGTAAATTCCAAGGGCTCACATACTTTTTCTTGCAACTGTAATTAATGTGCAATAAGTTTGTAATATGATCTAAAATTTATGGTGGATTTTTAAAATGAAGTCTTGATTAGGAGTGTTTACTTTGTAAGGTTATGGCTTCATGTGAGTTTAATCTCCTGCCAAGTGGTTGAATATCTCAGTAGCAAGTGATTAAATATCACTGTGGACTCCTAACCTAAGCGTATGGTTATAAAAGACATTAAATAGAGGTGAGCTGAACAAGGGTAAACCTGACCATACACATTGGGCATGCATGTTTATATTGGATAAGTATTTTGCAGACACAATCTCAGTGGAATAGGGGATGTTCAGGATAATAGCTATAATTTTTTTTTTTAAGGAGATCTCTTGGCAAGAGAACGTTTGTGAACACTTTGCATGACTATTGTTTATATTGTACATTCTAGTGTCAGCTGTTGCTGATTCTGTGCAGGCATGCTGCCTTCTTGAAATTGTGCAAGGCTTCCCTAGCAGCTGATGATGTCAGGACTGGGAAGAGGGGGAGTGTTATTGCTCCCGGAAGTGTCGGATGTGGTAGAAAATTGCAGAGCATAATTCATTAAAAAAACAAAACCCTTTTTATTCTATCTGCTGAAAAACACCTGGGTGGAATATAACGAGATGCAGGATGTTGTATCATAAGCTTCTTACAGTTAATTCCAGTATGAACACCTTAATGTTGACTTCAGAATCCAGGGAAGAAGTGCTTTAAATACAATAGAAAATGATAAGATGAGTTAGTCACAAGCTGTAATCGTGTTGGGCCATTTGCTGGCCGGTGCTTGGCATTTGTCCAGTCCCAGTTAATGATTTCTTCTTGGGTTCAGTTGTAAATCTAAATGTCTTAGAATAAAAAAATATGAGAGCACTTTTTTAGGTGTATTTGAAATGTGAATGTTGAATGACATTTTGCATCTGTTCAATATTACAGCATTTTGTTGGATGAGGAAGGTCACATCAAGTTAACAGGTAAATCTACATTAGATATTTCTAAAATGCTTCACCTTCCTATTGTTTAGATGTGCATGCTGTTCACCCTGTGACCTCTTTCAGATTTTGGACTAAGTAAAGAGTCAATAGATCATGAGAAGAAAGCATTCTCCTTCTGCGGGACAGTAGAGTACATGGCTCCAGAGGTTGTGAATCGGCAGGGTCATTCACACAGTGCGGATTGGTGGTCTTATGGCGTGCTTATGGTAATCACTTTAAAGATATCAGTAGTGGTAGCTAACGAAAATCAAGCAAGTTTATCTTTTTGCATATTGGGCTTTTCCATTTTGACCACTTCTTAGAGATACCTGTTTTTCGTTCAAAATAAGTATGTATTAAAAGATTTAACATAGAGTTTGGCATATTGCATAGTAGGCATTCTAACAACTTAGCATTTCAAGCATGTCAAAGTATAAATTTGCATTATGAGACTGTATAAACAGTGTAGTTGAGGTCCGTTCAAAACGAGAGAGTTCACAGTAGATCAAGACATAACAGTAGAAAGTTTGGAACCATGTGTGTATGGGAGTATTATTAATATTATTATTATTCAGGATTTATATAGCGCCAACAGTTTGCACATCGCTTTACAATATAAGGAAGACATTACAATCACATAACAATTCAAGACGATGGTAAGGAGGGCCCTGCCCTGACAGCTTACAATCCAAAAAGTGGTAGCTGTGTGGGGATGAATTGTTTGAGAACGAGATGGTTCAGTGGTTAGGTTGAGGTGGTATTGAGTTGGGGGGTGGGTTGAGTAGTAGTATTAAAAAGAAAAAAAAGGCTGGTTATGGTATGGTCATTTTAGTCATCTGGCAATGTGAGACAAGTAGATAATGTGTATTTACATACATTCCACCTTTCCAAAACTAGGAACATGTCTCAGAAAGAACAAAGTCAATAGAGTGAGGAAAGCTGGCCATACACTGTAAGAATTACTTAGGAGTTGTCCAAAATTCTAACAGTGGGTGGCCCTGCTGGCTTGACAGAAGACAACTACTCAGTCAACTTTCTCTAGTCACCTTCCAGGACAGCATTAGAGAGATGGGCTCCTCCCACCGGAACAGGAAACACATCACCCACACTTAGAATAAAAAGGAGCACAAGCCTAGCACGCTTCAGTTATTTTGTGTTTCCTCCGGCCGAGCAGGACATCGTAATGTTTGTTGTTTTCCTTAGGCCTTCGTGCTGTTGAGCAGGGGCTTCCCCCCGACAGGGGTACAGCAGAGGGTCAGTGGACCCGGGGGACCCAGGAAGGGGGGCTTCCTGGACAGCCCCAACTGTCCGAAAGAAAATGCCTGTGGTTTACCTGCACAAGCGTGTGCAGGGCAACTTGACCTGTTGGTGTAGTGGACTCGGGAGTTCCCCCGGGCGAAAAACCTCTGCTTCAAAATGGTGTGCTTTTTTCTTACCTGCAACGGTGGGGTCTTTCGGGGATCCTGGCTCCGGTCCGCAGGACTGGGGCGCGGCGTCCTCGTGTGGCATGGGGGAGGCATTTCCCGGCGTAAGAATGTGGGCGGAAATGTCGTAAGTAACGAACTTCCAACAAATCCCATGAGGCATTGCAAGATTCTCACAGCCACGACTCCCAGAGAGATGCATCATGGGATTTGTAGTTTCACCACAGCTGGAGGGCCGGGAAATGTTTGGGATTTTTGTCAGGGGTGGGTGCCAGTTGTCATAATGCAATAGCCCGGCGAGGGGCAGCTCCTATAAGTGAAGTACACGTGTTTGTCTGATAGATTTAGACAAATGTATTTGTTGGTTGTTAGGGCTTCATCCAGTCCTCATCGTTCAGGGGCCCCATGTTCAATTTTCAAAACATTTTTTTTTCCTTTTTTTTTATTTGGATAGCTACCAGAACTGTTGAATTCTGTAATTGGAGTTAAAACGCAGATATTGGCTTGGGTGAAGTGGAGTTTGGTGAAAGGTCAACACGTGGGTTGTCGGGTAGGCAGAAACTGTAATAGCTGCGTCTGAGCAGCATGTCGGAGCTGGAAATACCTGAATATAATTCAGTTTAGCAGTCGGAATTCTTAGTGATGCCTGTATTCATTTAATTTTGTTATGTTTTTAAAGTCCAATAACTAATTTATCTTTGTATCCACTCATCACCGTGGTAGCTATTGTTAGTAGAGGCTGGCTACCAAGTATATAACCAAGCTTTTATAGCATTACAGCCTGGTGTAGGAGAAATCATCAGTCTTCAGTGCTGTAATTTATCTGCAGAGCAGGCAGGCAGGCAGAAGCTGGTGGTGTGATGTGTAGATTCATGTTCTTTGTCCAGAGACCATAGGGCGCTACTAAGATAGCTTTAAAAATCAATCAATCGCTGTATTTAAGATGTATAACTTTTCATGTTTTTTTTAAATTTAATATGAAGAACATGAGAGGAAACGGCAACCTTATAATTCTTCCAATTATTAATCTTGTCTAGGTTATGCAAGCTCATAATCGGAACTGTAATTTTAAGTGTCACCTGGAAGTTAGGTCAGGGCCAGTTCACTTCAATTGTGTCTCTGTGTTTACTGCATTCTGCCACAGGGAGCTGATTGGACATGAACAAAGCCTAAAGCAATCAAAACATCATATTTTACATTTATTATTTTATTATCTTATATTTCTATGTTTTATAGTATTTAGTTTTAAGCAGAGATTGTTTATAGCCACATTTTACTGGCATCTATATTTATCTTGAGTTTCTAAATAATTCAGGAGTTAAATATGTAGAGCTGCAGCTAACGATTATTTTCAAAATCGATTAGTTAGCCGATTATTAAGTTCGATTAATCGGTTAATCGGATAAACAATAAAAAAAAAATAAAAAATGGCTCCAGTGATGGGACTACTAGTTTGTATTGAGATTGTAGTCCATCGCAGGAGCAAATTGGCTTCTTCATTTCCATCCCCCACCACCAATACATGCAGTACAATAACAGGCATTGCTCCCATAGCACCTTTGCTTGGCCTCTTGGTTTTATATATGTAGTTATTGTATTGTAATAAGGAGCTATTTTTATCAGCTAAATCATTATACAGATGAACATACAGCCCTTGAGGGTTTTTGTCTTTGTTTACTGAGCTTAACATGCTGCTTACAATATACCAGGCACATATTCTGTCTCTAGATATGTCTGTTTGGTTCTAAACTGCAGGCAGAATACAAAATTCCATTAGAAATGAGACATAGTTGTTTACCAGTGCCTTCATTGTGTGTTTGGGATCCACGTCAGTTATGTTTCCCTGTGTTAGGACAATTGCTGGCATATTTTAGGCTAAAACCATCATTTGCAGGGAGGTGAATGTGTGTGGCAACTAGAGATTGTGATCAAGCGTATTGGGTTTTCCCCGCAGATATCAGTGGTGAATCCCTGATGAAATTGATTGTAGCTGGCAGCTTTGGTGTATTGTTACTGAGACCTGAATTTGCCATTTGAAGAATGTGAAATCCAGATGTTTTGCAAATGGCTGCTTTAGAGACTTGAGCTGGCAAGCATGCAGCTAAAACCAGTTGTCATATAGGCTCTTTTGATGCAGTGAATGTGGCAAGGTTTATCTGGCAGTGATTGATGGGTGAAGTTTTATTTCCCAGATTTGAAAACATTTACTGCATGTAAGAAAGCAGTAATGTAGCGGCCACAGATTTAAAAAACTCTGTCAAGGGAAATTAAAACCCATACAAATTCTTCCATTAAGAGAAGGGTTATTTTGCTCACCTCTCTGTTGGCCCTTACTCTCCTCCTTTCCAACCATATAGTGGCTCCGGCATTCAATACTTCCAGGAGTGTCAATTGCCTGTGTCCTCTGTCTCCTCCTTCCAAGCCCTACTTTATGGCGGTGTCCTGTAGTTTTGCGTACTGAAGATACTGATGGGAGCGCGCAAGCTCAATTTAAAGAAAAATGTTGCCAACCTTATCCCTTTTGCTACCAGAGCAGTTTTTCCCCAATTTTCTGCACATGTTAAAATGCATTTTAGAAGGCCTAAAGATTACTTAAAGCCCCAGACATTATATATTTTCTAAAAGCAGAGACCATGGAGAATAAAATGTTAGTTATAATATTATGTTACAAGATGGTTTATCAAAGCCATTTTTTAAAATAAAAAAATACACTAAAGTTAATTCTAGTACACACAAATACACAACATATATTACCCAATTTTAAAAACATTTTTGTCTCCTTTTTTTTTTCTTTCCCCCCACAGTTTGAAATGCTTACTGGGTCCTTACCATTCCAGGGAAAAGATCGGAAAGAAACAATGACACTAATCTTAAAGTAAGTTGTTGATGTAGCAGATGTCATTAGTAGGTTGTTTCAAATTGTGTACTCTTCTTCTTGCTTGGTGCTCTATGCAATCAAGCAAAGGACACACACAGTCCTGTGTACTTACCGGTAGATTCTTGTTTTAAAATAATTCTTCAGAACGTTTGTTTGGTTTTCCTTTTTGTTAATTAGGTCACATTGACCATTTTTTTTTTTAATAAATTCTTTATTTCACATTTTCCAAACAATACAGGTAATATATGTGGCTAGAGCTTCTTCATTATCAGGACTTACAATGTAACCAACAGTTATGTGGCTATCTTAGGACCCGGCTGACGATAGTCAAGTAAAGTAGCTATGGACATGTGCATGCATGTTGACTAGCTTATGATCAACGTATAATTGAAGGTGTTCCTGAAGTAGGTGGAAATATTGGCGTAGGCCCCGGGGAACCTGAGGGGCCAAACGACGCTACAAAAACGGCCCGTGGTCCATTGGAGTAAGTCCTGTCGTATCTTAAGGAGTAGCGGGGGGAAGTTGAGACTAAATGTCTCGGAGAGATTTCTGGGTATTTTCGTGCCCAGGTATGTGATTGCCGAGGTAGACCATCTGAAGGCAAAAGACGCGCGAAGCCCATGAGCCGCCGACGTGGGGAGAGTGACATTGAGCGCGCTCGATTTGGAATAGTTTATTAAGAAATTGGAGAGGGTTTCAAATCGGCTAAATTATTCTACTAAATTGGGCAGGGAAATGACAGGGTTAGATAGAAAGAATAGTAGGTCATCCGCAAAGGCTGCTACTTTTTGGGAGGTCGATGGTCCGGTGGGAATGCCCATGATATCTGTATGGGATCGAATTTTACAAAGGAAGGGCTCTAGGGTTAAAATAAATAAGAGGGGGGACAGGGGGCATCCCTGTCTCGTGCCGTTACCAATTTCTAGGGGTTGGGACAGGGAGCCATTAATTTTGACCTGTGCTGTAGGGTGAGAGTAGATCCCCCTGATCCATGTCAACATCCTATTACCCAGTCCTACATATTGCAGGACTGAGTCCATATACTGCCAATTCACCTAGTCAAAGGCCTTTTCGGCATCTGTGGACAGTAGCATGAGGGGTATGGATCTGGAGTTAGCAGCATGGAGAGTAGCTAGTACTCTTGTGGTGTTGTCTCGGGCTTCCCTCGTGGGTACGAAGCCCGATTGGTCAGGGTGTATTACCGCAGGCATCAGGGGGGCTAAGACAATCATTTTTTAACCTAGGGATGAAAAAAAATTGAAAGAGCAGAATGGAACATTTTTCTTGAACAAAATTTTAACAGTGAATGTGGTTTGCATTTGGGAAATCCAAAATCAAATGTTAAAACTAAAAATATCACCAAGTCTCTGATGGTATTCTGAAAAGCTTTTTGGTATGAACATAGGTGCAACAATCTAGTAAGTAGTGTATGGCCACATTTAGAAAACCTGTTCAGTGTGTATAAACCTGCTGAGGTTTTTAAAAAATCATATTGCATATTATTCATGCTAGTTAGGAAGTGTGTCCTAAAAAGTGACTTTACCAACTTTGCATCCTGCAAAACACGGTGCACTTTTGTGGTTGGACTTATAGAAAATGCTGCCTCGCTTCCTATGGTAAGAGAAATATGCAACATTCATATCTTTATGCCTTTATTACACAGGCAGTAATGCAAAAAAGGATATTATATAACAAAGTTTACTGACCTGCTCTAAATCATATCTAAAATGTGTTCACTTCAAAATATATATATATTTTCCTATAGATTAGTGTTACCCAACAGATGGCTTGCAGGCTAAGATTCAGCTTTTTGACACGCTGTACACGGTTGCCATCCACTTGTTGCACATGGCGTGACGTTGTATATCTTTAGAATTTATTAAGGGTCACAGGATCATAAGTAATACAGAGACAACTGGGTTATGCTGCTGCCTTCAGAAGGAGTTCGGCGCCGGCAATGAAAAAAAATTGGCCAGCCAGGTATAACCCCACCCTCTCCCATCATGCTTCAGTTTTTCTGCTAGTGTCCTGAGAGAATGAACATCTTTCTCCTTGCAAAAAAAAGTTTGACAATTTTTACTAGACATTTTGCATATTTTCCATGAGATATTTTACTTCGATCAAGTCTTTATTCCTAGCTCTCAGGTGTGGCTCCCTGTTTTGCACTCTCCAGGGAGGAATTTTCTACAGTTATGTTAGATTTTTATGAACAAAATCACGGTCATGATGACGAAATCAGACGCAAGGGCCGTAAGCGTACTTCTGTAGGACCTTCTCCAGAGTTTGTCTCTGAAATACCTGTTGCAGCTTCTGCACATAGTTGAGGATGCTCCCTTTGATGAGGAGCCTCACCAGCCCATTCTGAATGACTTTATGCCTGGAGAGCCTTAGTCTGCTGATATAGCTATTAGGCCTAAAGATAACATCAATTCATATTGACGCAGTACACGTATATTTAAAACCGAAGCATCCTGTATCTGAAACAGACATGTTACCAGTCTAGGCTCCCTTAAAGGTCTTGAAAAAGTTTACTTTTCCAGTTCATTCCTTACTTAAATCTGTTCTGTATGGAGAGTGGTCTACTCCTGACAAACTTTGTTTTTCCATCCCAAATATTTTTTTGAGCAATATCTGTTTGAGGAGTCATTTTCTGACCTTTTCATTACACAGTATTGATTTTTCAGACACTAGGTGGTATGCACTAAGTGTATGTCCAACGAACCCGCAACTATCCTTGCTGATCATTCACTTATGGAAAATTTCCAGCTTATACCCTCAGCATTACACTATTGTGTTGATGGGTTAGAGGAAACTGTCCATCTCATCTCCAGAATAAGTCTCATATTGGTTAATATTTTGAGTGCTCTTTGGCTCCTTTTGGCTAGACTTCTCTTGTTCAGCTCCGCAGATTAAGCCAAAGAAATCAGTCAGATATAGGAATCTCCAGACTGTAAGTACCCACAGCTGTCTGAATACTGGAACAGTGATGGCATCTGATTGCATGCAGTCACTGTACAGCCAACAGTTCTCACTGGTCTCCTTTGATTTTTTTTTAGTCAGTTTGTCAAGCCAGGTGCTGCCGACAGGACCACCCACAGTTCTAATTTCAGCCAATTCATCAGGAATCGTGCAAAATTCGAGCCATGTATGGCTAGCTTTACTAGGATGTTTGTGGGAGAGTGGCAGTTGTACAAGCACAGTTTATTTGGGAAATCGGCGATGTTACCATTACAGCTTCTTTGGAATCATGGCAGTCTTACTGGGGCAGCTTTTTTAAGAGGGATGGCAGTCTAGCCTAACATGATTTTCTTTTTTTTCTTTGCTCCCAGCCCTACAGCCATGCAAGGAAAATGGTGGAACTTTATAAACAGTGGACCTTATTTATCTATTCTTCCCAGAAAACAGTTGTCTGTAGTGCTCCACAGCAACCAGTCAGGTCAAATCTGCACTGAAAAATGACATTTGAAGAATGAAAGCTTGAATCTGGTTTTCGTTAGGACAGTAAACACAGATCTTAGTTTAGACATATTGACAAATGAAGTAAAATGAGGTTTCATTTGACAGACCTGTACATCCTGTCTCTGTTCTAGAGCCAAATTGGGAATGCCCCAGTTTCTAAGCAGTGAAGCACAGGGCTTGTTGCGTTCGCTCTTTAAAAGAAACCCTGCTAACAGGCTTGGTGAGTAATTTTTTTAAATGTGTTGCCTTCTAGAACAGCAGGGTGTCTATCTGCTTATCTTGTTTCTGTGCCATGCTTGCTTATTGATTGCCAACATACTGCACGTTTCAATTTTCAAGGATCCGGCTTAGATGGAGCAGAAGAGTTAAAACGTCACCCATTCTTCTCTACCATAGACTGGAATGTAAGTTTCATATTCAGTAAAGGTTCTTATTTCCCCCACACTGTACATTTGTTGCTCGCCTTTGTGCACTATGGTTTGGTATTTGCTACACTCAGAAGTTAATGTTCATTATCATACATGGTAAAGAAGCTGGTTGTATGCAACTGTGTTCTTGGACAATAAGGTTTTTTGTTTTATTATTTCCCTTAACTTAAAAATTAACACACTTTTTGTATTACACAAGATCATATACAAGTCTATTGATGGTTGCTATCTAAAACCTTTTTACAACCGTTTAAAAGATTGTCCCATTTAGAAATTACATGTTATTGCATGTTGTATGAACTCTGATTTGTAATTTGTAACATAACTAGAACTGTGCCACCTAGTGGCCAAGTTATTGCAGAAAGGCAAAATTGTTTTAAATCTTGTTACACAATAGTTATGGGAAAATGGGTGAGCTTGTCTTTGTTTTCTGCAGTAAGAAGAATGTATAAAATTTGAGAAACTAGAAAACATTTTTTTTAGCATGATAGAACTAGACGCACTTTTTATTTCATAAACTACCACTACGTATTTCTGGGTTTATTTATTCCAAAACAGAAATTGTACCGCAGAGAGATTAGTCCTCCATTCAAACCTGCCGTCACTCAGCCAGATGACACTTATTACTTTGATTCAGAGTTCACGTCACGCACTCCAAAAGGTCAGTATCTTCTATTGAACAAATTCACATGACAAACAATGAACAGTATCAGACTAGTAACCGATAACTCCAGAACGTAAAGGCAATACTTTGGATTTCAGTGCTCATAAAATAATTAACTTTTAAAGTGATCACTACAGTATACATGAACCTTGCCAAGAATTGGAAAGTACATATGCAAAGCACAGAGACTCCTACAAAGTTGTCAGAGTGAAATTAATCCTAGATATCTAGTATAAATTTTTCCTTATACCCCAGTGAAGTAATAGGTATTGTGTTACCATAATACATCATCTCCAATGGTGCAAAAGAACAAAATGGCGATGCCCCAAACCTTGCTTATCTTTATTCTAATAATAAGACTTTTGTTGTTTTCATTCTTCTCTAGCGAGTGATTGCTATAATAGCCAATCTTAGGCTATCACAGGGATCATGAATGAGATTGGGAGCGGGTCCGCTCAGTTTAGATCTTTAGTTCGAGACCAGGAGCTGTCAGTGACAGCTCAATCTCTTTGCTTGTAGAAGTTCAAATCAGCATGCTTCCTGCACACAGGTGTGCATATATGTGGTATCTATATACCTGATATGACCACATATATGTGATGTTGTCATAAAATATCTATCTATTTATCTATCTATGTATCTATATATATAGATATATATATATATCTAGAGAGAGAGAGACTGACTAACTGCCCCAGCACATTAGGAAACATTTACTGTGCTTTCATATTCATATCTGTTCTAAAATAAACCATATAGAATGAACCTAATAAGTAAAAAAAGTATTACTCTTCTGTTCATTGAGGGACACAGAGAAGATCATAGATCTGGAACCACTGTTGTGGAGGTGTGTGGCGGCTAGGTGGGGTCGGCCACAGGGTTACCGCCCTATGGCCTGCCAACAGTAGTATTCAATCGAAGTTAGCTGCCACACATCTCCACAACAGTGGTTTCGAGGTCTACAGTCTTTTCTGTGTCCTTCAAGAAACGCAAAGAAAAGGATTTTACAGTGAGTACAAAAATCCTATATTTCTAGGTTGCAATGCAAAATGGATATCAATGAATCCAGGATGGACAATTGTTTTTTCGTTTTTAACAGATTCTCCTGGAATACCACCCAGTGCAGGGGCTCATCAGCTCTTCCGTGGATTTAGTTTTGTGGCTCCTTCTTATGGCGGGGAAGATAAAACATGTTTTGCCTCTCCTTCACTATCTGTACCAAAGGTGACTTTCTTACATTCCTATTACAGTAATTCACTGCACTAGGTCCTCCCTTTCCTACTGCTGTATATGTTGATAGTTTACATATGTAATACTTTGCCCTGATTGATACAAACCCATCTCTTGTTTCTATACTTGTATCATCTTTGTCTTATTCCCTTCTTCACAAAGATGCTCAGTAAGAATGTCGCATTTGCTGACGTGTACACGCTGCGGGAAACTATTGGCGTGGGTTCATACTCTGTTTGCAAGCGCTGTGTTCACAAGGGAACCAATATGGAATATGCTGTAAAGGTATGGAAAAATGTATATGAAGCTGTATTGATATGCTTCTTGTGTTAAAGCCTAACTCCTGCCATATAATTTTATTTTATTAGTTTTGATAGAGTAGGGAAGGGCTAGAGCCTCTGAGGTTTTTATTGTTGTCTGTGTCCCTATTGGAGAGATTTTTCCAATGGAGACACAGACCAAGAAATATATTACAGTGGAGAAGAGTTAGAACATCAGTGCCTTTCTGTCCTGCTGGCAACTGCACCCTCATTTCTTGTATGGGTGTCACAAAGACAAAAGTGAGAGGAAAATCTCCCCAGTAGGATCACAGACAGCAGCTCTATCCCAAAAATTGTCTGGAGTTGGGCTTTAGTTTTTGTGTATTTTTATGAAGGAATTTTAAAATGGCTGTTATAATTGTGTGCTTTTTTTTTCATCACACCACTTAACGTTTCTTCACCTTCATGTATGTTTATTCCTCTGTTCATGGTCCTTTGCTGCAGATAATTGACAAATCCAAGAGGGATCCATCAGAAGAAATAGAGATTCTACGCCGATATGGTCAGCATCCGAACGTCATCACACTAAAGGATGTAAGTGCCGTGTTTGTCTATACTTTCTCAAGGTATCCGTTTATTTGACACCATCTGGGAACATTGTTCATATCCTGGTCTGGTGCTGATATACAATCCCTATCCACAGGTATATGAAGAAGGGAATTCTGTCTACCTTGTGACTGACCTTATGAGAGGTGGAGAACTGCTGGACAGGATTTTACGTCAAAAGTTTTTCTCAGAGAGAGAGGCGTGCGCTGTTCTCCTGACAATGTGCAAGACTGTGGAATATCTGCACTCGCAAGGGGTAAGTCCTGTGTACAGTTTTTACACCCATATCTTTCTTTGGAGGTGTTAAATATACACCTAAGACCTTATGTTAGATTGCCTTGCCATACTAGTTTCTATATTGCAGGTTGTTCACAGAGATCTAAAGCCGAGCAACATTCTGTATGTTGATGAGTCTGGAAATCCAGAGTCCATAAGAATTTGTGATTTTGGGTTTGCAAAACAGCTACGAGCAGAAAATGGATTACTAATGACCCCCTGTTACACAGCCAACTTTGTGGCCCCTGAGGTAATTATGGACATACAATTTGCAAATGGATATTTATTTTAGGAGAGAAATAGGTGTAGCTTTGGAAGTGTGTGAACTTTTAGGCTAGGTTCACACCGTTTCCTGGACCAGATCTGGAATGCAGTGCTTAAAATGGGCTTCCAGGTGCGTTCCAGTGCGTTTCCATGCATTCCAGTGCATTACAGACTAGAGAAAATGAGACGAGCAGTATTTTTATTTTGTCTGGCCCCGAACGGACTGTGCTGGTGTGGACAGAGCCCAGAAATACCATAGGGATACATTGGGATGCTTTTTTGGTCCAGGAACAACATGTTCTGGTCTGCACATGATCCAGACATGGTGTGAGCAAGCCCCTAATGTGAAAGAAGGTCTAAAGAAAAAACAATGTTTATTTTTATAACAAGATGCTGTTGACCTATTGAAGTACAACCAGTTATTTTCCTTGAAGTAATGGAGTAATATACAGTCATATCCCAGACACTGTGCAAGCTATTATGTCTGTGCATGCCTCTGTACTACATTATATGCATATTGACAATTCCGTTTCATATAACAAAATAGTGGGCAATCTATTGCATTGTTGAAGCAGCCATTTTTCCTAATTTTATTTTTTTTCTCATATGTGCCTACATGTTTAAAAAGCATGAAGACCTCACAAAAAAATGTTTCTGAAATATTTTATATAGCCAGATTAAATGCAGTTATTGCTTAGCCGAGTTATTTTTAACTGTATTTTTTTCTATTTCAAATGTTGCTTTACGCAAAAGACATACCCCCTGAGACTCAGTCTCTGACAGCATCAACTCGCCGAGAAGATTCAGAGTGAAATCCATTGTAGTTTTATTCTAGGCTAAATGATTACATAGGATGTTTTCTGGGTTTTCCTTTGAAGTGCAAAAGCACTTTAGAGTTGAAGGAGAACTATGGGTTGAGTGAATTACACTCATGCCCATAGTTAGAGCCGACGTATGACAGTGAAACTGTCGCACGTCAGTTCTATTGGGAAGTGATCAAAAACATACCGCCGCTCACTCACTTCCCGAACATCTCCCTGCAGAGTGGTGACTGTCAGTCAATACCCCCCGCATGGATTCCCCCCTCCCCTGCCTGATCTTCCAGCGCTGACTGGAGGGATGGACGGGGGAGGGGGCGGGCATAGCTGGCTCTGCCTCTAGATAGGCAGAGCCAGCTATCAATCAGCCAGCGGGTGGATCTCAACAGTATTGTCGAGATCCATCCCAGCTGCAGTGCTCTCAGCATATAGCGGGCAATAACCTGCCATATACTGAGTTTTGGATCGTGGGAGGACATTAGTATATGTCCTCCCTGTGACCCTAAAGAGCACAATGGGGAAAAAAAGATTACCCCATAGTTCTCTGTGAAAGCCTTCTGATACTCTTGAAGGACCTCTTTTCCAGACAAAGATAAAACTGAAACTTGTGGTATGATAAAGCTGGGAGTGTCTTACTATTAGGGCTGGTGCAGGGGTGCGGAAATGTAAAAAAAAAAAGCTATTTGTCCAAGGACTAAAGCGGGGGCCCAATCTACTTGTCCCTCATGACAATCTATTTGTCATGATACACATTTTTTTTTAACCAATACCGTACTTAACCGTGCTCAGAATCACTTCTCATTGGTCAGCGCGGTAACCTGCAAGCAAAATTCAAAATCCATACCGCAGGGCTGTACTGGACAGTAGAATGGGGTACAGATATTACACCCGTACCGGCGAGGAGGACGGACAAATAGCCTGCAATACAAGTGCATTGGGCGACTGTACACTTTGTACATAACAAGCGGCGGCTTCACCTGCTCTACCATTAGGCTGCTTTTCCGAAGCAGTGCCCAATGTAGAAAAAACACCCACCCGGAGGCCGGAACTACATGTCTCGGGCGTCCGACGATAGGAATTCCGCACCTCTCTGGTGTACCCAATACAAAAACTGGACATATTGAAGCAAAAAACAGGCTACTGCTACTGGAAGCACAACATTAATGTTCTGAATTCTGTGAAATATGTTTTTTTTTCTACATAAGAGAGAAAGCCGCAACCTTATCATAAAAATACCACACAGAGTAGAATTTTTAGAATAAATCAACAGCAGAGCTTTTAGAAGCCATTTTTCCTGGATATTTATGAGGAATACTAAGTAAGAATGAGCAAGAATCATCACATGTGATACAGCATGAAAACCAGTAAAATGTATATGGCTTTATTGACCTCACACATGTATTTGCATTAGATGCAGGGATGTCATTACAAAGACCACTGCATCAGCTGGATAAAAATTGGAGGTTGTAAATTTTCCTGGTCTCCTAAGACACTGAATCCCTGTGTAGCCAGGTTCTTCACCTCTTCTCGCACCTTAAGTCTGTGCTGCAACATTGAATTGAATGTTCAGGATGACAGCTGTTTAGAAGGAAAGCAGCAATGAAGTGAGCAAAGTACTGGCGTTGTTTAACGAGAACAGGAAATAAGTTGCTCTAACCATAAGTTTATCTGAACTGGGTAATCTTCTGGTTTTTTTTGTTTGTTCCGTATGTACTTTACCTTGTAGCGTATTGAGTTTATATGCTGAGGGTGTTGTACAAAGCACAGTCCTGCACTGCTCAAATGTTTTTATTTGAGGCTGAGCACTCCGTTGTACTTTCACTCACCAAATAAAAAAATCTTTAGCTGGTGGACATTTAACCAAGATGATAAAAATGTGATAACAGAGTTTTTAGGTTTTTTTTCTCATCGATGAAGGGGTTACACTGCATTCCTTTATCATAAATTACAGGACACAGAATGGTATTCAGAAACATAGGGTTATACTACCAGTCACCTACTGGAGATGTGGACACTGTCAAACAAAGCTGGAAGACAGCCAAGTATAACCACTCCCTCACCCAGCAAGCCTCAGTTTTCTGCTGGTGATATCAAAAGATAAATGTCTTCTCTATGCTCTGAGAGAAGAAAGCCATTTTCTCAAGTTTATTTTTTTTTCTTCTGGCAAGTTTCTAGAATTGCTGCAGAGACCTTAGAGCTCATGTTGAATCTTCCTAGATTTGCTGATCCTCTGCATAGCCTCAGAAGACCAGACCCAGCCATGAGGAAGATGGCCTGTTAAGTGCCCTTGTGCACTGGACATCGCTTTAGGCCACCACTCTTTGGTACCAGAGCTGCAATGCGGGTGGGAGCTACAGAGTGCTTTACTGGACAAGGACTGGGTTTACCCCACATGGTTCCCTTCTCCTGCACTACTATGGGATTTTCACTCCACTGAGAAGATGTGGGTGGAATTTCTTCGCACCCTTCCTGTGGTGGTGATTACACTAACATTGGTAAGTCAGGGCCTTTCGGCATTTATTTAGGGGCCTTGGGTGCGTGCCTACACTCAACTAATGGGTTGACATAGCTTTGCTGGCTGCAGCACAAACCCTACTAAGTGTGCACAGCTGTCCATATAATGAGTGATCATTCTGTGCATGTGCACACCATTTTCCAAGATGCACCTAGCCACCTCCACACTTCTCACCAGCTCCTTAGGCCACACCACGCCAAGATTCTCAGAATGTCCTGGGCTCTCATCTGCCTTTTGGACTAATCACTGGGCTTGTAACATTTCCTGCTCCTGCAGGGGTTTGTGAGTTCCCTTGTGGGATGCTTGTATACCAAACATGGCGGATCATAGGTGCAGTGGTACTGCAGGCCTTGCCATCTCCAGATCCGCATTCAATTCTGGGGAGCTTGTACCCTCTAAGGGACCTGCAACCTATAGCCTAGATCATGTTCCCTTTCTTGAGTCGCAGCACTCCTTCGAGTCCTCCCTTTCCCCTTCTGGGATAGCTCCTTGCTCTGTTTTTTCAAGTGAGGAATTTAATGCGACCAAGTCTGAGTTTATAGGTAAAATTTCAGCCTAGATAATGGACTCAACACAGGGGCTGCAAGTGTGCTTCTGCTCTCTCTCCTCCTCACTAATTCTCTGAGTTTCCTGCAGCTGTCTCCACATGGTCAGCTGCAGATGCTGAAGTTTGTTCCTTGCCTAGATGACTTGGTACCTGAAGAGCGTCTGCTCACTCAGATTGGTCCTACATTTAAAGACACCACTGCAACTCTCACAGATGAAATTTGCATGTGTCTTGACCTAGTTCAACTGGAGTTAGTGTGCTTAAGGTTACTAGTCTGGGTTCTTTTAAAAAGCCACATTTCCTATTCATTCACTGTGGCAGCCTATTTTATATGGTAACTGACCAAAGCCTGATATTGTCTCTACCCCTGCAAAACGTTTTGCCCAACAATACATTAGGAGGCTGATTTCTTTAAAAAGTGGGTGGTCCCTGCAGTGGATCCCGTCATCAGCTGTCTTAACAGGACCTTAACCATCCCAGTGGGAGATGATCTGAGATTCATGTATCAGGTGGACAAAAGGCCCTTTCTAAGGCCTCCCTTTCCCTTGCAGGCCCTGTCATGCAGCTGCCTATTGCAGCTATTTTTACTTATAAAATCCTGTTTCAGTTATGGCAAGGGATCTGGGTTCTATTCTCTCAGACCGCTCTGTACTGCAACAGCTGGTACTCATGCCTGTAGCCCGGAGATATTGTGTTAAGAGCCTCCATCTCCAGAATTTCTCCTCTGTTGGTGCACATGTAGAGGACCCTTTCACTAAAGTACACATGTAAAATATGCCCTTTGGAGCAGAACACCTCTTTGGTACTACCATCGTTAGGTTTATACAGCATGTTACACGGGGAAGAACACATCTCTTGCCCCAGGCAAAAAAAAGTTCTGATTAATCATTTTGATTAATCTGCTGTCTTTTTTTTCATTCCCCATGGGCCTCAAAAAGCGAGCAGAAGCCTGGGACCCAGTTCAGCCACAAGTACTGGACTCCAAAATCCTCCAAGCCTGAGGCAATGTCCTCCTTTCAGGAAGACACCTCCACTGGGCCTAGTGGGGGGGGTCAATTAATGGCTACGCGAGACATGAAGGCTCAGTCTTTGGACCAGCATATTAGTCTGCATCCCAAGACCTGGATGGCTCTGGCTTGGTGGGTCATGAGCACAGCTCTGGAGTTGGGGGAAGTTGATTTGAGGAAGAATCCGGATGTCCTGCTGTTAAAGAGAGGTAGACCAGATTCTAGCTTCCTTGGAACTGCACATACCAGCCCTATCCACAGTCCACATTCCTGGAGTAGAAAATTGGCAGATGGACTTTCACAATGTTGGGGCTCCTTAGAGTGGTCTCTCACTGTCACAGATGAGGAGGCTGGACATGGACCTGCTGGCTTCCAGGTTCAAAATAAAACTGAATAGGTTTGTATCCAAAACCAAAGATCCCCTGGCCCTAGCAGGGCATGCCCCGGTGACTCCATGGTGTCAGCTCAGCCTATTTTATCCCCTCCCTCCTCTAGAATTTCTTCCTCATCTGCTACAAAGGGTAAAAAAAGATCTTTCTGGTGATTCTCATCTCACCGAACTGGCCTAGGAAGATATGACACTTAGACTTCGTCAGACTCTTCATGACCTTTTACAGATTGTCCGGATCTTCTTTTCCAGAGGCTGGTTTACCTCCCTCCTTCATGGTCGTTGACTTTAACAGCCTTGCTGTTGAAGCCCAGGTGCTGAAGGATAGGCACACATCCAATTCAGTTATTTCTACACTTTCAAAGGCTAGGAAGTTGACCTCTCCTACCACTGCACATGGAAGGCATAATTCTTGTGGTGTGGTATTCGCCTGTCTACTCTCACTCACAAGGCTGCCTTTCTGATTGCTATCACCTCGGCAAGTTGTGTCTCTGAGTTGGTGACCTGAACCTGTAGGGAACCTTTGCTTACCCTACACAGGGACATGGTTGTGTTGAGGCTTAGTTTCTTCTCATTGCGGTTTCTTCCCTCCTCCTTGATTAGGACATTGTTTGCCTTCTTTCATTCCCTGCTCCTCGGCATCTTAAGGAAATGTCCTTTCTTGTGTTAAGCACTGTTTGAGTTTTCCACTGCTTCTTTTGGACAAACGGATTCTCTCTTTCATTCCTATGGAGCCCTCAAGGGAACAGCCTGCATCTTGCTCTACCATCTTCAGGTAAATTTAACAATTCATCATTCAAGCTTATGGACTTGAGGACAAAGTTCCACCTTACCCTCTCAAAGCACACTCTATTAGATCTGTTTGTGCTGCTTGTTCTTTTCAGCATCAGGAATTTGTTTCTCAGGTTTGAAAGGCTGCTGCCAGGTACATGTTCAGTCCTAATCTGCTGCCATCTTTTGCCACAAGGTTCTTCAGGCTGCTTTGTAAGCTCTTGAGCCCCTTCTGTTGTCAGGCTGTTGACATTTAATTTTCTGTGTTGCCCACCCCTCAGTTGTATTTCTTGGGGATGTCCTTCGATTCCTGAACTGGCCAGGAAGGGGGTCTAAACACCTGGTCTTGAAGTGGTTAAAGATATGTGTAAAGTTCCTCTTTTAATAATGATTGATATGCAATACAATATTAGCATTATATGGTTTTTATCTTATTTATGTGCATACTAGAGTATTGAGTGCTCTAGTGTGCAAAAAGTGACTAGCTTCCTTAGTTGCTGGTTTTTGCCTGACATCTTACACCTCACTATTGGTCCAGTTAGGGGCAGGCTAGAGCCATTGTCCAGTTATGGGCAGTCTAGGGCCATAGTCCAGGGAAGCTGGTTATTGTTTATACACAAGAGCACTGTGGTACTTGAGTGCTGTGCAAGAAATTTTAAACTGGTGTGTATCCATCTTATGGGGCTCCTATTCACCATAGGCGATACTTTTATGACCTCATTATATCCACAGTTTTACTTTAAAAATGAATGCAACATCAATTAAGTAAAAACAGAATATTTGGTAAAACACATAATGAAGGGATTTTATCAGAACTGGAGCAGACAAAATCTGGAGCAGTTGTACATGGCAACCAATCACCCCCTCTCTTTCATTTTCAAATCTTAACTGAACAAACTGAGATAGGCTGGTTGCCATGCACAGCTGCTCCAGATTTTGTCTGCTCCGGTTTTGATACATTCCCCCCAATGTATTTAATGTGTGAGTAAATAGGACTTGCTACAGTATTTATCTATTTACATCTTATGGGTTTTTAATTTTGTTTCCATGAGCATCAGTAAATCCTTTTGAAAAGTTGGTAATTCAGCCAGTTCAGAAATGGGGAGCTGTCATTGCTAATTTCTGTGCTAGTCTGCTGTCTCAAAGACCTTGTAGATTTAATGATTTCTAAATTACTGAACTGGAACAAGCATGCATATCAGGAGTTTTGGCTTCACTCTGATTTCTTGAATGAACTGAGGGATTTTAATCAAATCTATTCCTAGGTATTGAAGAGGCAGGGATATGACGAAGGATGTGACATTTGGAGCCTGGGAATCCTCCTCTATACAATGTTGGCAGGGTAAGTGCACATACATGCATCATGGTGATATATGGTAGGTCATTTAAACCGCAAGCTGCTTATCTGGCAAAGACAAGTCTGCTCTTCACAACCACAAGATAATATAAAAAAAACTTGGAACGTAAGTTGATTGCAGTTTTAAAGTGTGCTTGCACCACTGTTTTTAATAAATTTGGTTGCTGTGCTTGTATCCTTTTCTATGTTTTCATAGGGATACATAAGAACTTTAGTAGCAGAGAAGCAGACTTTTGTAAAAGTGGCAGAGCTTGGCTTGGACTGATTTTCTTTAATACTCAATGATTCTGTTTTGTGTAGAATTATCCAATAAAATGACATAAACAGAAATAATTGTAGACTAACTTTTTACCTGCATATCTGCAGATACACACCGTTTGCCAATGGGCCAGAAGACACACCAGATGAGATCTTGGTGCGGATTGGCAGTGGAAAGTTTACCTTGAAAGGTGGTAACTGGAACACCGTGTCAGACTCTGCAAAGGTACAGTTCATATAAAGAGCACAATCTCTTCATAACCATCAGACTTCAAAATCCTCTGCCCAAAAAGGTAGAGATGGGGAACCTGAATTTTAAGATGGATTTGGTGTCTTCCTCACTAGAAATATAGAATGAGGAGGATTCACCAGTCAAGTGATTTAATTCATAAAACCTAAAAACAATATGTGATCAGCGCCAGTAAATGCAAATAAGAGCCACTAGGCACTCAAGATAAATAAAAAAAGATCTAAAACATGTATAACAATCATGTGCCAAGCTGAATAAATATATACAATTCAGTGAAATATGTGATACAACAATAAGATTATAAGTATATGTTTTTAAAAATATATTCAAAAGAGTACATCAAAACATGAAAAGATGAGAGCAGAGTGGTAAAAACAAAGTCCAATGTGCAACAATTATAACTGTGCAAACAATAGTAGGGGATAGTCCACCACTAGATAGATTCAAACTTCCAAGTAAGCAGTTGCCACAGAAACCTCCACCCAGTGGATGCAAATATTGGAACGGTGCTCATCTAGGGAGATAGACCCAGAGAACTAGGTCTCAAAGCGCATTTCCCTTCTTAATAGGTGAGGGAAAGACCAGATAACCTCCTCGGCTCGGAAATAACATATCAATAACAATAACACAACAATCATTTCAAAGGGCGACAAAGTATAAAGAGGACATAGTGCATATCGTCCGAAACATACAATTTATTGAATACAAACAGGTACTCGCAATGTCACAGGTGACAAGAGGCGTAAAACAAATATCCAATGGGTGCAATGGGACTCCCTTCCGTCCGGCTCAGCTGAGAAGAGTGACGTTGAATGCTCGGCATTAGCCATAAGTTACTGATAATTGGCCTCCCTCATCGAGCATTATTTGATTAGCTATGTACAGTATGTATCAATCATTTAAAAAAAATTTATAGACATTCTTGGTTAGGTTAACTTCTGATTGAGAACAAGCAGGTGTAAAGAACAGAAAGCAAGCCCCCAAATGCAGGTCATTGTGACCTGCATATCTGTAGTTCCTTTTCTTTCACCCATACAGATTACCATAACTAAGTGAAAAGGATCATTTTTAAAACCCAGCTTCATTCAAAACATTCTCATTCTCTCTGGGATAGACAAAAACATATATAGTAGTGTGAGGAAGGGTTAGAACTTCAGACAATCCGTTTAATGTTGTCTGTGTCTTCCTATGCCGGTAACAACTGTACCCTCCATATCTTGTATGTCTGTCAGTGACAAGAAGTGAGGGAAACACTTGATAGTTTCGATTTTGTAATCCTGTGTCTCATTGGGGAGCTTTACTTTGACATCCCGTTCTGTAGAAACAGCAAAGTGAGGGAAATCCCTCTTAGTTGTCATCCGAACAAGGGTCCATATTGGAATATTTCCCCTCTATTCCTGTTCTGGTGACAACTCAAAATTTTCACATTTCCTTCACTTTCAGTCCCTCTAACACTGGTCACCAGGACAAATAGAGATATTGACAGCAAACAGACAGCAATAAAAAACTAAGATGCAGGAAGCCAGCAGGCCAAGATGAATTGCAAATAGTATAATTTACTGTCCCATATCTGAAAAGAAAGGTCTCAAATGGCTTCATTTCCTGCTTTCATCAAAAGACACCACATATTATCAGCCAATTATTTTGGAGTGTATTTCTACTTTTACAGTCAAATTTGAGAAAGCCCCCCCCCCCCCATATGTTTGTGTTTCTATTCACACCGCATACCAAAAAATAATTTCTTACCTTTTTAGATGTCTGTGTAACTGCCTTTGCAAGCTTCTATCTCAATTTCCAAGTGACAGGAAACTATTTGTCCCCATAGAAAGACCAGGGACAGACTGTGTTTTCCCTCATTACAATACAATATAGTTCTTTAACCCTTTGTTAGAAAATACATTGTTAAGATCTGCCAGCACAGTACACACAGGCTTATGCATGTTAACATTAACCTACCCATCCTATTCTGTGAATGACGGTGTTGAGCAGTGACACTAGTGCATCTGTCTGTAGACCCAACAGCTGTCATATCCATAGTGTTCTGGAAGTAATGCAGAATCTGTACTTTTCTGTCAGAAGTATTGATTTTAAGGTACTGTGAAGCGAACTTCCTATTTATTAAGACTTAGGAGAGGTTACATTTCTTTACACATCAGGATTTACAAAAATCTCTGTGCCTTGAGTTCCACTTTAAATATTGATGCATTGTATTAAAGTGGACCTTACCATAAAATGCAAGGTCCACTTAACATACCAGGGTCCTTCCCATTATCACCATTAGCTTCTTTATGAAAAAAACCCTCTTCTGTACCGCATCCTTCTGGTGAGATCCCGGGGAATGCCGAGTACCCAAAATCTCCTGATATGTCTAAATTACATTGCATGCACAGCTGCAGAGCCATTTGTAGTTCACCGTGGAATTCAAGTGCAGTGACATCACTACACTTGTAGCCCATTTATACGTTCTGCTGTCCTTTAACTGAAAGTCTGAGCATTGGTACACAGGGGCTGGGAGGAAGAGTCTACAGAAGTCTGAGCATAGTACCCACGATCCACCAATCATGGTTGCGGTACTCAAATGTAAAAACATAATAAATGCACTATACCATTGTAAATTGTAGCCATACATGTGTCCTCTTACAGGACTTGGTTTCTCGCATGCTGCATGTGGATCCCCACCGCCGGCTTACTGCCCGTCAAGTTTTGCACCATGAATGGATCACAAAACGAGACTTACTACCTCAGAGTCATCTTAATCGGCAAGATGCACAGTTGATAAAGGTGAGTGTCTTTCCTTTCACAGCTACCAAATGAAGTACGAGTATTAAAATGAGGATAGAAAGGTACAAAAAAGCTTTTGTGAGTATAATAAATAATACTAGTTTCACTTTACTAGCCGCTTGAGTGTAGGGCTTAGGCCATTCAACAGCCATCTCGCTGTTCAATGGGAGTAGCGTGATTGTCAATAAGGGCACTCATACTGGAGAGGGGAATGAACGTTTGATACGTTCAGTCCTGTGGTCTAGAAAGTGAGGCCCCAGGAACATAAAAATCAATTGAGAGGAACACAGAAGTGTTTTCTCACCAACAAAGATAATAGCAGGCATGTTGCAGTGTCTTCTCTTAGGAAGGCCATTTACTTTTAAAAGTCTAAAATGGCTGACGGGTTTTCTTTAAGACACTCAAGGGAGAATTAAAACTACCAATTTAACTTCCAAAAGAAAGCTTAAGTTAGAAAAGTTCAATAAATGTTATTAAATCCTTAATTAAACCTATTAATGATTTCTGCAGCGTTTTCATTTACATTTTGCTTACTAGAGCATGCGTAGTGTGTATTACATACAAAGCATGCCTGTGGTGATAAACTGCAGTTTTCAACTGAACTTTCAAGCCCTCAAATGGCTGCTGTTATAGCTGTTCACATGATGATGTGCGCCGTCCTCCACTGCAAGCATAAGAAGGTTTAGTTCAGCTGTAGCTGTAAACTGAGAAACCACTGAGTGTTAGTAAACAATTAAGTTATGAAACTGATCCTCTCTGCATAGAAAAAAAAGCTAGAGATTAAAATGTATTTAAAGACCAAACTCTTTAAAGTGACAATAAACTCAGGTGTTACATTTTAAAAATGCCTTCAAGTACCTTAAAGGAGAACTGTGAGTGAAAATCACTCGGCCTCATAGTTCTAGCCGACCTGTGACAATGAAACTGTCACAGGTCGGCTCAATAGATTGGGAAGTGAGTGAACACATACCGTGTCTGACTGTCCCTCACGGCTCCCTGCAGGGATTCCCCCCTCCCCTGTCCGATCCTCCAGCGCTGACTGGCGGAACAGACAGGGGAGGGGTCGGGTACAGCTGGCTCTGCCTCTATATAGGCAGAGCCAGCTGTCACTCGCGCAGCTGGGTGGATCTAGACCGTAATGTCGTGATCTGTCTCGGCTGCGGCGTCTCAGTATACCGCGAGCTGTAGCCTGCTATATACTGAGCTTTGGGTGACGGGAGAACGCTAGTTTGTGTCCTCCCGTTACCCTTAGGAGAACTATGGTGGAAAAGCCCTAACCCCATAGTTCTCCTTTACCTAGTATGGTCCCTGTGTGTGTTGTAAAGTAGCCACTGCTCTATGCTAACTCCTGTGACGGTCTGCAATCTCACATTTAGTTTACTCATTTGTATTGAGATTGTAGTCCATCACAGGATCGAGCTTGGGGTGGTGCCTACTTAACACACACAGGGACCACGGGAATAAAAGTAACCACCCTCTAGAAGGAAGGACAGTGTCGGCACCAATTCAGAGATGATTTGAGGATCTACAGCTGAGTGATACACAAATAAGGTACAGTTTTTGTTAATAGGGTATTTTAATGCATTTTTGTGATTTAACGTCTGAGTTTAATGTCACTTTTTAATTAGTAGTGACGGTTTAGCAACCCTGTCATGTTTGTTTCTATAGCTGTCTGTGTAAACACTGGGAAGATTCTACCTCTGTATTTGTCCAGATTACTGTTGTCACCAGGATTGAAAGTTGTCAGCGGTATAGGAATAGAAGGGAAATCTTGAAATGTTGCACTAAGAAATTATTTCCTCTCATTTCATGCTGTGTCTACAGGACAGTAGACAATGAAACTGTCACAGGTCGGCTCAATGGATCGGGAAGTGAGTGAACACATACCGTCGCAGTAATGTCGGGATCCGTCCCGGCTACAGCAGTCTCAGTATATCGCAAGCTGTAGCTCGCGATATACTGAGCTTTGGGTCACGGGAGGACACTAGTATATGTCCTCCCGTGACCCTTAAGAGAACTATGGAGGAAAAAACTTGCCTCATAGTTCTCTTTTAACCGTTCGCTACACTATTCAAAACTTAAAAGGATTGGCTTTATATTTACTTGAAGCAATCTTTTTGATGCCGTCCGTCCGTTTTTTTACTACGGGCGGACGGCAAGAGGTTAAAACATAAAATAGTTCCTTAGAAATCTTTACATACCCTGTGCTTCACTGGGGTCTAGGTAGCTCTGAATATCCTTGCAAGCTCTTCATGTATCCAAAAGCCATATATAATTGCATAAAATAGAAACAAGATAACTCTTCTACAGGAAAGTCATATCACGCCAATAGATGCTAAAACTCTACCTGAGAACCCAGCAATAGGAGAGGAAACAAGCCAGGATGAATTTACTACGTTAGACACTAGGAGAACCGTAGGAAAAACTATTCACAAAACCATTGCAAGTTAACTTCCAAAAGAGGGACCAAAGTTGTAATCTTGATGAAAATAAGTACCTCCACTCAGGGCCGGATTTCCCACAAGGCCACTGAGGCCCGGCCTTGGGGCAGCAGGGAGTAGAAGGGCAGCAGGGGTGTGGAATTCCTATCGCCTCACGCCCAGAACATGCGGTTCTGGGCGGGTAGTTTTTTTCCTACATTTAGTCTTGCCTGAAGCAGAGCTAAATGTAGAGCGTGGGAAGCTGCAGCCCGTTTTGAACAAGTGATCTTGGCGATGCCGGATGTGGGGGCTCGTCAGTCCTTCCCCCGCCGTCCCCCCCTCCATGGTCTGCCCCCACATCCGGCTGCCTTTCTCCCAGCTGGCCGCCTCCCTCCTCGCCGTGGTTTTCGGGGTCCCCCACTCTCCTGGGGGCAACGGCAAAGTAGGTCAGTAGTTCAGGATGGAGAGCGGCGAGCAGAGCTGAGAACGTCCGTGCTCCACTCTACTCCGTGTAAACACTGAGACGGTAGAGCTGCACTCGCAATCTTCCCATCTCAGCTGTCACATGAGATCGAGCACAGTACTGTGATCAAACTCCTGTATTGGAGGTGACCAGTTTAATAAAGAAAACCTGACGCCTCCAAATTCTATCACACGGGCTTGTTAGCTCCTGTGTGATAGCAATAAAGTTAAGTGAAAACAAAATAAAATTAAGAAAATTAAACTTGATAAAGTAAAAAATAATAAAATAAAAAAATATTATAAAAAGTAAAAGATGAGATCAATAATAATTTAAATAAAAAATTAAAGAATTATAAAATAAAAAAGATATAAATTTTAAAAAATAAACATTCAAAAAAATTAGTGATAAAAGCAGACGGCGTAAATCCGGGCCTGCCTCCACTGAAAACTGGCATGTCTTCTTCAGAGTCCCAAGAAGGGACATGGCTGTAAAACATGTCCATTTTCAGTGGAAGTGCTTATTTTCATCAAGAATACAACTTTGGTCCCTCTTTTGGTACTGACAGAATAAGCCAGAATGAATCCATCTTTGGCTTGTTTCCTCTCCTATTGCCGGCATTTCAGGGAGAGAGTTTCACCATCTGTTGGTGTGTCCTGGCGTTCCTGTGGAGGAGTTATCTTGGTCATGTGCCCTGATTAAGTCATTTGATAGTAAGTGCAGTTTTATTTTGAAGAAGCTCCTTGATAATAATAGTATACTGTATGTGAGTTAAGCATAGTCACTGACAGGCCTCCTATGTTACCCCTTTGCACAATAACCATGATTTCCACTGAATAGTTATCAGTGTTTTGTATGAATATATTTCTGAACCGTTAATTCATTTTCTGTTGTGTTTGTCCTATATTTCTGTAATATTTCTCACTACAGTTTTTAGTAAATGTCTATGGTTTTTCCATTGCAGGGAGCTATGGCTGCCACATACTCTGCCTTAAACAGCTCTAAGCCAACCCCACAGCTGCAACCAATCAAATCGTCCATCCTCGCACAGCGACGTGTCAAGAAACTTCCTTCTACCATCCTCTAGCAGGGTTTTCTGCTTACCACAGTCATTCTCCTGTACTTGGTGACTTGTGATGATGGCTCTTAGCCACTACCAGCTTTCCAAAACTGTGCAACACCATATTTTACCCTGACCATATAAAGCTGTGTTACTCCTGCCAATGTGGACTCAGCATGGCACATTTGATGTGCCATTATTCACGGTACAGTTGCAGGAGACTGCAAGGGTCTAATGCCCTAAAGAAAAGTGTACAATTATTGAAAAAAAAGCATAGATATATTTTATCTAAGGTGGTTGTTGTGCTTCTTTAAATCATTACACATCTCCCCTCATCTCCTTGCAGCACTATCTCAGGGCTGTCTGCACTCCTGCTGTCTGTGACAGTGAAGGGACATTGCTGTTTGATCTGTGACATATCAGAATTCTGAGTATTCAATCGATTTCTTGCCTTTTGCTTTGTGCCGCCATTACAAAGCAATCTCACAAACATTCCAATACATAGTATTTGTGTTTACACACACCATGCAGACTTGGTGTATTCACACACCTAAGGGCTCACTGTGCTTCAACCGCATGTTGCTTTATTCAAGTGACTGTTTTGGCAAGCAGCCAACACTTGCTACAATTTAAGCACAAAGAATATGCGAAATAGACCTTGAGATTGAAAAAAATGATATTTTAATCTAAAAAGATATAAGGCTGGATACAAAGAAATGTTCTTTCGGGTAAAGAGAAATCAAACCGTAGTGTAAACTACCAGCAACAACTTTGACACTGGAGATTCAGTGTGTTAAGATCCCTTTTGCTGTTGGAACATGAGCACTGTACACTGATCATTTTCATAAAAAGAAACTGTATTATATTACCAACTCATGTCCTTACATCATGTTGGTTGATATAACATCCAATCAACAGTTTATAAGCTTTTGTAGTCTTTTCAGCAGCAGTTCCCTATGCGATAAATGTTCATTTGAGGGAGACTATCATAAAGTTCTATGCCAGCTCTATAAATGGAGAAGAAAATCATAAATCAATGAACTAAACACAATTTTAGAATTGACGTTGGGGTATTACACGTTTCCATAATGTGTGTGCCTTTAGATGGATACCCGTAGTTTGGGCTGTTTTTAGCATGGCTAAACAGCAACGATTGGCTTGTACATTCACATCCTGGTGGAACTTGGTTTTCTGAAGCTGCAGGTCATACCTCACACTAATCCTGTGTCACACAAAGATTTTTTAATTTGGTAAAATGGCATCCTTTGCAAACATTTTTGGTGCCAACCAAATGTAAAATATATGCCTACCATATGTAGCAAAAGGTACGCTTCCGTAAAAATGGCTTCTTAAAGTGTATATCAGAGCAAAATGAAAAAATACACGCAATGCATGTAGATTTCACTTTGTTTTATCACTTTAAAGACCCTGCAAGAACAGAAAATTACATGTCGAATTGCCAGAAATGGAGTCCGCAACAAACTTTTTTGAATAAATGTTGCCACCCCTGCCCAGATGTCGTTTGCTAAAGTACTGAACCGTGCCCCTTCTCCCCTCCACAACAGAAGTTCTAACTAATCTGTAGTTCTAAGAGCTGGAAGCAGGGCCGTCCCTATATTGAGGCCGATTGAACTGATTGCCTCAGGCAGCATCTCATTGGGTCACATGGGGCACACCTGCCGCCCCCTTTCCAGCCAGAGCATCCCAGGTTGCTAAGAGCTCTTGGCTACTTGTGAAGCTCTGGCAGGTCCCGCCCAGCTCACTGACGTCACTGGTTGCCAGGAGCTGAACGCGGGATGGACAGAGGTGTCATGTGCACCCCTCTGACCCGCACAGCCAGCAAACCTCCACAAGCCCTCCCCCTGACAACCAGGGGGCGAGAGTTGTAGGGATACCACTGGTTGGAAGGGTTAATCTTGCTCCTTGAGATGACACATGAAGTGTAAAAAGGACATAAGACGGCTCTGCATTTCTGACATGATCAACAAGTATTTTTTTGCAGTTATCAAACATATGACAAAAACACTTTCAATGGTACAGATGGGTGCAAATAAGAGAAGTTCATTGTTAGGGTTTACATACACTTTAAGTCCATTTATACTAATTTGGTGATTCTGAACGTGGGGGATCTACTGGCCAAAGAAGTGATGTATACATCCTGTTATGGAGTCTGTGTAGAATGTTTGTTTACAGGTAGAGCAGATAACATTTGTGAAAAACCTATCTTTTCTGGACTTCTGGAAAATGTAAAGCAGTCATCTTCAACTTTTTAATAGCAGGATGTATTCCAGTACTTTTTTATAAAAAACCTCTCTTGCTGTATAAATGCATATTCCTTTGTTGCTGATTATGTTGTCTAATAAACCTCTGAAATGGTTTAACTGGTAAATACTTAAGCCAGTATTATTACAGTCTTGTCTGCTATGAAATCTGTTGACTAAATCACCATACATTAAACCAGTCTAAAGGTAAACAAATTGTTCACACAAACCTGCAGATCATGAACAGTGAATTTTGAATTCCAAATGCTTGACCTTGAATTGCTGGTGTTTGCCTACTGCTTATATGTCTTACTTCCCTATCAAAACCTTAAGTCTCCTATAAGTACACTTTTTTTTCCTAACCATCTCCCCCCTTCCTTGTAAAAGTAAAATGTTCTGTTACTCGCCTAACCCCTTCTACAGGCCCAGCAGCAGATCTCGGCTGCAGATGGGGGTCACTTTCATCAAAGAAATGCATTTACACAGAACTACTGGTTGCCCGTTTGTGATCCTGAAGTGGGTGTTGGGTAAGTAAAAGGACCATGTTTGTATAATGAGAACTGAACTCTGGAAGCTGTCCCTAAAAAATGGCAGACAAAGGGCATAGAACTAGTCACAAGTATTGCTTGTCTGCAGCTGAAAATTCCGCATTACCGACTTCCAATGCCTTGTTCTACATTTGTCTTTGTATGGTGGCAGCCATCTTGGTAGAGGCAGGGGTTTTGCTTTCTTATATCAAAGCCTCCAGCAAGAACAGGGATCGGCACAGTAGTGATTTTACCAAATCCCACCACAAATCTCCTGAGACTAGCAGTCAGAGGCAGCACTGCTTGAGGGCCGGTTCACACCACAAAGTCTACGTTCCAGAGCATTCGGCATTTGGTACGCAAGCCGGCCGGCTCCCTGCGTTCAGGAGCAGAAGGGGGCGTGGTGGTGCATTGAAGTCAATGGCACCACAGCCGCGCCCCCTGCCTGCAGTGCGATCGCCCGGACCCGAAACGCAGGCACATTAGTGCTTGTGTTCCGGTTCAGTGTGATCTGTCAAAATAGTGCATGCAGTATTTTTGCAGATCGCACTGTACCGGAACGTAAGCACTAATGTGCCTGCGTTCCGGGTGGGGCTGCGGTGCCATTGACTTTAATGCACCGCCATGCCCCTGAACGCAGGGAGCCAGCCAGCTTGCGTTCCAGTGCGTTCCAGAGGCCGAACGCTCTGGAACGCAGACTTTGTGGCGTGAACTGGCCCTTAGATCTCACACTGCAGATATACAGGTATAAGGCAATAGATACAGGAGTGCCTAAGCACCTTCACATACCAGGAAGTGCAGTGTTATTTTTTAGGAGAATTTTCTGACAAAGGGTAAATTTTCAGCGTACTGCTTAGGCACAATTCACATTTGGTGTGGTAAGAATTTAGAATTTGTTTATTTTATTTCAAAGATTTTTATTGGTTTTTAAAAAAAAAAGAAAACAACATATTAAAAGACAAATAGGTAGCACAATCCATGCAAAACAAAGAGAATAAAGAACTCCCCAACGATACAGTGCTTAGCATAAATGAGCACATTACAACAGATTTGTCAGAAAACCAATACTTTCTTTTCAGTATCAACATTTTGTATGGGACACTATACTACAAAATACTCCCACAAATGCGGGCCATTGTTTGCAACCAAGATTTGTTAATTTGCACACACATAAAAGTAAATAAAAAATAAGTCATAGGAGCAAAGCTACATTTTAGATAACAAAATCCTAATTAACAAGAATGCAACTCCAGGTGAGTATAATGATTCATTACACAGGTGTCCAGCAGACAGTTGATTATAAAAGTGCGTTACTTAACAAAGAAAACGCCTTCCCATTTCATGCTGTCAGCAATGACACCACATGGCAGAGAAATGTCACTGAGAAAGAAAATAATTTCTTTACACAAAGGTGAAGGCTACAACAAGATCAGCAAAGCTTTACTTATCAGTCAGAATACTGTAGCAAATGTGATACACAAATGTAACAAAGATGGAACTGTAACTATCTCACAGAGACGTCCAGGCTGTCCACGGAAGTTAACACCTCGACAGGAGCATCTTCTGATGAAGAGATGGTTGAAGAAAATCGTCATGCAAGTTCACTGTAGTTGGCTAAAGAAGTAGAAAGCCAAATTGGTGTGATTGTTTCCTGTGACACAATACGGCGTACACTGCAGAGGAATGGCATGCATCAGTGTTGTCCACGAAGGAAGCCTCTCCTGAAGCCCATGCACAAAAAAGCCCGCCTACAATTTGCCAGGGCCCATGCTGAAAAGGAAGACCACCGGGACTCTGTACTCTGCAGTGATGAGACCAAGATCAATGTTTTTGGAACTGATGGCTTCAAAACTGTATGGTGTCGTAAAGGTGAGGAGTACAAAGAAAAATGCATTGTGTCTGCAGTGAAACATGGTGGTGGCAGTGTCCTTCTGTGGGGCTGCATGAGTGCTGCTGGATTTCATTGATGGTATCATGAATTTACAGATGTATTGCTCTATATTGAAAGAGAAGATGCTACCATCACTCCATGCCCTTGGTCGTCCTGCACTTTTCTAATATGACAATGATCTAAAACACACATCTAAGGCCACTGTTGCATTTCTGAAGAAGAACAGAGTGCAAGTGATTCAGTGGCCAAGTATGTCTCCTGATCTGAACCCAAACAAACGCCTATGGGGAATTCTGAAGAGACGAGTTGAGCATCACTCTCCATCCAGCATCCAGGCTCTAAAAGAGGTCGTTCTTGAAGAATGGAAAAAGATGTTGCAATATCTCACCAACTTTTTAAGTCCATGACTAGAAGACTTGGTGCTGTCCTTACAAATCATGGAGGTCACACAAAATACTAGATGTAGTAATTTTTGTTGTGGGGTGTATTCCCTCATTTTTGATTCACCTAATTTGAGTAAAACTAAAGATTCTGTAATCTAAGTTATATTATTACCTTACTTTCATGTAATGAGATAAATGTTCGATAAAACTCGGTTTTGTCACAATTTTGGAAATTGTTTTTATGTTCGCTGAGATACTGATTAAAATCTTACTGTTCAAAGGGGTGTACTCATTTCTGCTGAACACTGTATATGGTAAGTCATTATGGAGGTAGATGAAGATGAACAAAAAAGCAATCCACAGTAGGCATTGGAAAAAAAACAATTGTAGAGAAAAGGAGCAGTATTAATCCAATGCAGAAATCAAAGGCACTTGGGGGTATCTTACATAGCGAATTCGCTACCAAATAAAGTGTAAAATCTTCACTTTTTGAGCCCTTTTTCCCCTATAGGTTTAGTCAGAAGAACCATTGGCCGCTGATTCACGTTAACTTTACTGAACACTAGACATCTAAAGACTTAGAAAACCCAGCTTATGAACCAGAATTGCACTTTGCTGCTGCTTATG